GTTTTACTAAATCAGTGTACGAAGTGAGGTTGTCAGATGGAGATATAGGTTAATCCTCCGCGACATCCTGGTTTGGAGATGCATGGTCAGGGGATGTGTGAGCCTCAGAAACCTCCGTATCTGAGTCCTCGTCATTAAAATCTGAAGAATCGTGTTCGTTTTACTAAATCAGTGTACGAAGTGAGGTTGTCAGATGGAGATATAGGTAAATCCTCCGCGACATCCTGGTTTGGAGATGCATGGTCAGGGGATGTGTGAGCCTCAGAAACCTCCGTATCTGAGTCCTCGTCATTAAAATCTGAAGAATCGTGTTGTTCCGTGTGGACCGAAGTGTCTTGTTGACAGAGTACGGGTTTGGTTTGGGCGACGGGCACGACAGGTTTTGGTTCCACGGCGTGATGGGATGGCTTTGGTTCCACGGTGTGATGGGACGACTCGACTACAGGAGGACGTGATAGAGACCTAGACCTATGAGCAGAGCAAGATGAGTAGCGATCCCACTCAGAATAGCCCACAGGAGTCAACCATGGCATGGATGGAGGATAAGCCCCATACAGGTAACGCAACTGTCTTTCATCCCAAGCCATTGGGGGGGGGGCATGGAGACTCTTCGGGGGCGACTTCTGGTCCGTGGACGTCTGGAGGACCAGGTAGTGGCATGTCTCTGGGAGTCGTCCCTGTAGTCGCGGGTGTCAATATCAACAGGCTGAGTCTGCAGACGTGGTGGGAGACGCTGCGTGTCAGATAAGGCGTATCGGTGCCAATGTGGTTCGGCGTCAGGGGCTTCCAATACTGTCGATGCCGACGAAGTCGAAGGGAGCGGGGGAAAGCTCTGCACCCATTTGGTGACTGATGAGCTCCACCGTGTCAATGTCGGAATAAGTAGGCTCCATTTGCTGGACAGGGGAGTCCAATACGTGGATGGTCGGTATCGGTGGAGGGACTTGGGCCTCCGATATCGATACTGCCGGCGGAGCGGGAGGCACTATTGGGGCATCACCCAGTGCAGGCACCGCTTCCTTCCCCTTCTTTGCCGCTTTAAGGGACTTGGAGGTGCCCTTCTTCGCGGACTTATGCTCCGTACTTGCCTTAGCCTTTTTCTTCATTGGTGTAGAGGCGGACGATCATGTCTTCGATGTCGAGGGCTTCGGTATCAGGCGGTCGACATCGGAGGCAGGTGTCAATGCCGGATCTGTCGACGTAGACGGTCTCTCCTCCATAGTTGAGACAGGAGCAAGGGCCGATTCAAGCAGCGCTACCTTAAGGCGTGCAGCGCGTTTTTTTCTCGTCTGGTTGGCGAATCGAGCACAGTGACGACAAGATTCTGGCTTGTGAGACTCTCCAAGACAAAAAATGCAGAGGGTGTGGCGATCTGGAGGAGCAAGTTTGCTACCACAACGTCTGCATCTGTTAAAAAATCCCCACTTCTTCTCCATAAGAAGAGAAATGGCGAAAAAACGGCTGGGGGGGGGTGGCCCGAAGGCCTGAGGTAAATTCCCATCAGAAGAAACTAAAAAAAAAAATGTTTTTAAACAAACAACTGAAAATAAACTGAAGGCAAAGCACAAGTAAGAAATAAGTCCTAAGAGCTGTGGAGCGAAGCTGAAAACGAAGCTAACAGCGATCCGATCAGACCGAGAAGGAAAGAAGGTCTTTCCAACGCGGCGGTAAGAAAGGAACTGGCGGGATGTCCGCGCCCACTCCCTCTGGGCATGCGCGGTGGGGTTCCTGCGCATGCCCTGGGGGGCTGGGCGCGAAAATCCGTTAAAAGATCGACTGAATTTATTCAAGTGAACTTTGTAGCTCAGCAATGATCTGAGTACCGGTTTCCCTGGTTCAAGTTCAATACTCTGTCCACTATACCACACTGGTTCTTGAGATGATAAAATCTACCATGCATACAGAAGGCCACGAGAAACATTTGTTCCCTGTAATTTCTGACAACTTATATCAATAAGCTACAACCAAAAATTCAAGCAGATGAAAGTACAAACTATCCTATCTATGTATTAAGTAAAGGTAAAGGTTGCCTTGCTCGAAAGCCAGTCGAATCCGACAAGGTAAAGGTTCCCTTGCTCGAAAGCCAGTCGAATCCGACTCTAGGGTTGCGGTGCTCATCTCCGTTTCAAAGCCAAAGAGCCAGCGCTGTCCGAAGACGTTTCCGTGGTCATGTGGCCGGCATGACAAAACACCAAGGCGCACGGAACGCTGTTACCTTCCCACCGAAGTGGTACCTATTTATCTACTTGCAATTTCTTGCTTTCGAACTGCTAGGTTGGCAGGAGCTGGAACTAGAGACGGGAGCTCACTCCATCATGCAGCACCCGGGTCTCGAATTGCTGAACTACTGACCTTCCACAGCCTGCAGTTCAGCGTCTTAACCACTTGAGCCACCGCAGGTATTACCCCCAGGTATAATTCCAAATACAGTTCAGACTAATTTTGCTACAAAATTTCAAGTAATCTTTACTTAAAACAAATATCAAAGCATTAGAAGTAATTAACAGTAGCAACCAACTCTAGCTAATAACAATATTTGTGTCAGTACCTCCAAAGTTTTTGGTGAGAGAAGTACAAAACCTACCCAATAATGCAGTGAGTTTGGGAAGAAGTCCAACTTGTACCATTTTATTCCTCAAGCCTGTGTCAAAAGAAAGGTTCAGAAGAAGTCGGAGTGTAATATTCAGCAGGTCTTCATGTTCACATGGTACCATTTTCACCAGTTTCTCAATAATATCCAGTTCAACCTACATGAGCAGGATGGAAAGGTTAGAATTACTAAACCCATATTTTGCCAAACTTTAAATCTGGTACCAAGGATATCATAACAATCAGATTTACTTTATGGTAAATAAAGTTTAAAGCTGCCAAAGCTTTTGCCTCATCGCTAAAACGAGTTCTGCTGAAGTTTCTCCATAAAAAGCATCTGAATACAGGTTATGAAAATGTGTATTTTCACAATGACAAAACTGATAGTCTTCAGACATGGCAAGACAACCTGCATTTTTAATTCAGTTTAATTCAGTGGACAGTAACCTTGTAACATCATTAAAAAAGGGAAACACCACAGCAGAAGAGAAAACAATATGCCAGTCTGCAACATTATATCAGTCTTAGGCAGCAAAATGTTGTCCTCTATTTTAAAAGCTATGTAAAGGCTGGTATTAAACTACATATTCTGTTAACTGTGACAATGCTTCATTTTAATTAATGGCATTTAAAAGCTAAATTTCAAAGACATATGAGCAATTCTGCATCAATGCCATGTAGTATGTTTCCTAAGCAGGCCAAAAGGGCCACCTGAAAATAACAGGCAAGTACACAGCTTCTCAGCACTCCTCTTCTTTGATCACTCATGTCAGAATCTTGATTTGATTAGAATTTTGATTACACTCATCCCTATGGTCATTATAACATAGGTAGCATATCAACCAGCTGGCTAACAACACACTCCAGAGCCTGGTATTAATATCTGAGTCTGGGTAGCTTGCCAACTGTGCAGACTTTATGACACTGTTAATATTATCTTTTAATATAATCCTTCTTGACAAAAGCCTCATTTAAATCAAATCCCACAGGCGTTAACTTGTGAGGATGTGCTAATCATAAGAACATAATAGAAGCCAATGTTGGATCAGGCCAATGGCCCATCTAGTCCAACACTCTGCCAAAAATACCAGGTGCCATCAGGAGGACCAGTAGTGGGGCCAGGACACTAGAAGCCCTCCCACTGTTGCCCCCACCCCCAAGCACCAAGAAGACAGAGCATCACCTGCCCTAGACGGAGAGTTCCTATGTATACCTTGTGGCTAATAATTTTTTGGCAACATCTAGTCTGAAGAATTCTGCAGACCTCAAAAGCTTGCAAACTGTTAGGTGTCATTTGATTAGTCCTAATAAAAGGTCCCGCCCTGACCTGGAAGTGCCAGGCAAGCTAGATCTCTTCAGGTCTCAGAATCTAAGCAGGGTCGGTCCTGGTTAGTCCTTGGATGGGAGAGACCACCTGGAAGTCCAGGGTTGCAACGCAGAGGCGGGCAATGGCAAACCACCTCTGAACGTCTCTTGCTTTGAAAACCTCATAGGGTCGTCGTAAATCAGCTGTGACTTGATGGCATTTTACACACAAATTATAAAAGATATTGTGTGGATTGTGTTCAGGGGGGTTGGATTTTTCTTTTGGACCACCAGGGATAAGGTTGCCAGCTCCAGGTTGGGAAATACCAGGAGGTTTAGGGGTGTGGAGCCTGAGGAGGGTGGGGTTTGCCCTAGAGTCCAACTTCCAAAGCAGCCATTGTCTCCAGGAGATCAACTGTAATAGCAAGAGATCTCCAGCCACCACCTGGAGGCTGGCAACCCTAGCCAGGGAGGACAACTTCTGAGCATATGTACCGAGATCCAGAGAACAATGAGGGATGCAGAGAACTGTGACCTAACTGTAGTGCTAATATTTTTTACAGGAAAACAGGCTGGAAAAAACAAGTCAAATCAAATCGAATGCCTTTAATGGCATACCAATAAAATACATGGTGTGATAAAATATGCGCAAGAAGGCATTACAGAGACAGTAAAATGAGGCTGATCGTACAGAAAGCTTGTATCTAGAGAGAAGAAGTCTCTCTCACCTCTGATCAGCTGACAGTCAGGGCAGGAGCTGGGAAAATCTGAGAATGCAGATTTTCACTAAGAGGGACCTCTCTAAGGCTAGTTTTATTCTAATTGGATTTTACAGAGTATTTTCTTATACGTTTTATACGTATTTTTAAAATATCGATGTCCATGCTGACGTTCCAGCTATATCCCATCGTCGTCACCCCCATCGGGAGAGGCCCTCCTGACCGTTCCATCCGTCAAAGAAGCTCATTTCTGTGGGCACACGAGAGGGGGCCTTTTCAGTGGCAGCCCCACAGTTATGGAAGAGCCTCCCCAGACAAGTTTCAGTTTTTGGGAAACAGGTGATGACAGTTTTATTTAGGACTGCAGCTGATTAATTTAGAAGAAGAAGAAGAAGAGATTGGATTTATACCCTGCCCTTCACTACCCAAAGGAGTCTCAGAGCGGCTTACAAACCCCTTTCCCTTCCCCTCCCCACAACAGACACCCTGTGAGGTAGGTGGGGCTGAGAGAGCTCTGAGAGAAACTGCTCTTTTTCAAGAACAGCTCTTATCAGAACTGCGGCTTGCCCAAGGTCATCCATCCAGGTGCAAGTGGAGGAGTAGGGAATCAAACCCGGTTCTCCCCGATTAGAAGAAGAAGAGATTGGATTTATACCCTGCCCTTCACCACCCAAAGGTGTCTCAGAGTGGCTTACAAACTCCTTTCCCTTCCCCTCCCCACAACAGACACCCTGTGAGGTCCGTGGGGCTGAGAGAGCTCTTGACAACCCTAAACTGTGTTTTTAAATTTGGGGGGGGGGGGGGGGTTATTATGTATCTTATCTATGTCTTAAGCTGCCTTGAGCTCCATAAGGAAGAAAGGCAGCTAATAACTGTTTTAAAGAAACAAATTAAATAATTTAAAGCACGCCAGTCTTTCAAGAAATGTTTGAGAAGAGGAGGCATGAAAACAAAGCCACCACCATCTATATACTGTTTCTCTATGTGCAAATTCTTGTGCAGGGGAGTACCTGAAGGTGCAAAACCTGCAGATCCAAATGTACTGTATACCATGTAAACTGGAACCACACCAGTTAGAAACCATGTAACCAAGTGCACATGCAAGATTTAAGCTATAAACAAAAGCAGAAAAGAAATCCTAATGCCATTTTGTTGCCGTTTCTTCCCAAACACAACTAACAGAGCCCTTCAAGCAGAGAACTGGAACATTTACCATGTCGTTTTTATTCTCCATGAAGATGCTGAGTTTCTTCAGAAATGACACAACCAGAATCAGGAGTTCGAAGTTCTCTCGATCCAGAGCTTTCACCAGCATGTGAACGATATTCTTGTTTCGCATCTTCAGTTCAGTGCGTGTGTCTTCGGCAAGATTCAACAGCAAATAAAGGGCAACTGGCACAACGGGGCAGGGGGGGGGAGAGAATCACAGCACTGTAAGACTAAAAGTTTAAACTGTTTGCAAGTCATAAGTAACGTTTCCAAAGATCTTGAGCACTGCAAACACCTCTTGTACATGCCCCATTGGAATAAAACCCCATGGTGTCTATCAACAACAGCTAAGAACTTTCTCCAAACACTATCCTCCCTGTGCTGTATTTGGGACGGCTTCAGAAGCCACCCATATCTGTTCAAAAGCCCCCTCTTCCTGAAGGTTTTATAAGAAATCATCTTTTCTTTGAACTGGAAATTGATGACTGGTAACTAACAGTACTATCTTAAGCACAGTTACATCCCTTTAAGTCCACTACAATCAATGGGCTTAGACAGCTGTAACTCTACTCACCATTGCACTGTAAGTCAACTAATTCAACGGCTATCACAATTTTGGGTTTTTTTAAAAAATCCACACTACCATTTAAAATGTTGGGGAAGGGTAAAATGCATTTGAATCTGTAAGTAGAAATGAACGGAAAACTGCAGCCATGCTCATTAGTTCCGTTCTGAGCTATCTGCAACTTGTCAATATTTGTACAGCTTACTGAAATTTTACAGGACTTATCCATGTGCAACCAAACGCAAAAAAAGAGTGCACAAATGTTTAATTTGCCAACTACAACCAACAACACTAGCAACAGATGTGTTAAGAGGTTTCGTTCTCTGTTGTTCTGCTGTCTTGTTGACACTTCTATCAAGTGAATAAGGAATTCTACCTTTCCAGTTGGTTTAGGAAGGTATTGGTGCCCACATTCTTTCTGTTATATAAGTAACAAAGCATAAAGTACTATTCATATTAAAAGTTTGTGGAAACTGGTTGCTAATCTGCTCAATATATATTTCTTACCCATGCTGTATGCCACGTCACAGATAGCTGCTATAGCTTACAGCTGTTTCCCTGGTTTACTTGTGCAACATCTTCTCTGAGAACAGGGGACTACACTTAACAAGTAACCTTTAATTTCTTTTTTAAAGTTGTTGAACTAAAATGAGCACCAAACAAGTTTGTTGCACAAGCCCAGGTCACTCTGTCACATGAGCACGGCACATCACAGTTTGCTCATAAATCCCAGTCATCCTCCTTTCCCATCTCCAAAGAGAATCCAGAGCAAGATAAAGATGAATAAACAAAAAAATGAAGTTAATATCAATTATCGTAAATGGTTTAAACTCACCACAAAAAAGATCAAGAGTATTTCACCAGTTACAAAAAGTTAGTGCAGAAGTGATATGTCTTCAGGAGACACATATTAAAAAAGATGATCAACACCTCTTAGAGGTGAGAAAACTGGGAAAGTCATTCGTTGCAGCTAATTAAAAAAAAGAGAGAGAGGCTTAGTGACCTATGCTAAGGAAAACCTACTACTGGAGCTGATTTTTAGTTCAGAGGATGGGTGAATTATAATAATTCAAATTCAAAGACAGAATAAAAAAACACTTATAGTGAATATTTACGCACTGAATGAAAAACAAGAAAAATTTTATGAATCGGTTAAGGAAATAATTGCTAAACAAGTATTTGATGAGACCTGCTTAATGGGAGATTTCAATGCGGTCTTTGATAGAAAAATTGATAGAAAAAATTTACATAAAAATATAAACAAGGAAATAAACTTCCGAAGTCCTTCATAAAAATAGCAGAGGAATTCTGTCTAGTCGACACATGGAGATCAGGAATAAAGATAAAAAAAGAGTTTACTTTTTATTCACACAGACAAAAATCATGGTCCAGGCTGGACATGATATGGACTTCAACAGGAATCATTAATGAAATCTGGGAGGTAGAGATTTTACCAGCTACTTTCACGGACCATTATGTTAACCTTAACAGACATACCAAGAAGACAAAGGTACATTTTTACTTAAAGACAAAAAATTTGTAAATGAATCGAAAGTCGAATTTCAACACTTTTTTAAGGAAAATATACAACCGGAAGTCCCTATTGAAATAATTTGGGATACGTTCAAGGCCTCTGTCAGGGGATGGTTTATTAGACAGAATGCGTGGGGGATGAAAAATATACTCTAAAAGATTTTTAAAAAGTGGTAGAACAATACTATAAGAAATTATATCAAAGTGAAGAGATACATCAAGATAAATCTTTTTTTTGAAAAAAATATAGAGAGGAAATTTACTGAAGACCAAAAAAAAATTTAAATGATGCAATCTCCATGTGCGAAATAGTGGAAGCAATACGAAGTCAAAAAAACAGAAAAACACCTGGACCAGATGGAATTCCATCAAAATGTTATAAAATCTATGAAGACGTGATATTACCACTGAAAAGCGTAATAACTAATATTAGAGATAAAGGTTTGATGCCACATTCATGGAAACAAACTCAAATTACTTTAATACATAAACAAGGAACAGAACTTAAGTAGACCAATATCCCTCCTCAACACAGACTATAAAATATATGCTTATATATTCGCAAGTGGATTAAAAAGGGTGTTACTACAAGTTATTCATAGAGATCAGGCGGCCTTCCTCCCAAAGAGGCAAATAAAGAACAATATAAGAACAATACTAAATGACCTGGAATTCTATGAACAATACCCAGAAAAAGGTATGGCCTTAATATTTATAGACGCTGAGAAAGCCTTCAATAACTTAAATTGGAATTTTTAATTGGAAAAATTAAATAGATGAGAGACAGGTGAAAATGTTTTGATAATGATCAAAGCCATATATGATAAACAATTTGCCAAGATAATAATAAATGGCGATTTAACTCAAGATATAGACATTTCAAAAGGTACAAGGCAAGGTTGTCCCTTGTCTCCATTATTGTTTATTTTTGTATTAGAAACCTTACTAGAACAAGTTCGAAATAATAAGGAAATTAAAGGTTTGCAAGTAAAAGGCAAACAATTTAAAGTACAGGCTGTTGCCGACGATATGGCGTTTATATTGGAAGAACCTAAATGCTCTTTAAAACAACTATTGAAAGTACTACAGGGATATGGTGGAGTTGGCAGGGCTTAAGGTAAATCAAAATAAAACAAAAATAATGCTAAAGAAAAAAGAGAAGAGAAAATTACAGGAAATGTCAGGTTTTGAAAGGGGAACCCAAGCATTGCAGATTGTCCTCCTCCTTGAGAAGCCATTTTTATGGCAACTGCTGGAGCAAGGGTTGGCTATGGTTTCCCCTGCTCAGGATGGAGAGAGGGAGGTGACAAAGCATACTCGAGACTGCAAGGTTAAAGAAGGGTGATCAAAACAACTTCTCACTGACCTTCGCCACCTCCCTCTCCATGCCTAGAAAACTGAAACTAATTTGACCATAGTGTTCTTTGCCAGGGAGCGGCACAATCTTCGAGATATATAACTTGCCAAGAAAGAAAAGAAAAGGAAAAGAAAGAGTCCTCTCGCTTGTACATTTATTTATTTATCTCATTTGTATCCCACCCTCCCCGCAATGCAGGCTCAGGGCGGCTCACAATCAATGCATAAATACAGTAAAGAGCATGGGAATAGGGAGGAATGCTGCCGAATGCATGCATGCAAAAACAGAGTACACAACCTAACTTAGCTGGTTTTAATAGGAGGCACTCCAAGATGACCTAGGACATAGTAATTGAGCATGGGTGACCAGTGGCTATGCTGGATGCTGGATGCTGCTGCTGCTGCACAGATGCAAAATCACCCCCAGGACTGACTGAGAGAAAAACTTTGAGGTGATCAAAAAGAGGCTCAGCTCCACAATAAACATGCATTTTGAACAATCAATGCAAATCTGAATACCAATCTAATTATTTTTTTTTTTGCAAAACTGCCACTATCCCTGGTCACAAAAGAAAGTACATCCATAACAAGCCAGGTGCAAACTCTTGTTCAGAATTTTAATGTAGCACTCAAACAGGTCACTCAGGAAGTCTGCACTCAGACATTACACGAGAGCTTACAGAAGTCATGGTTTGTAAGCTATGGTTTATCACGATGCCTGCAGGCAGCCACAGAGCGAAGATGTGGACAGTCTTTGAGCATTTCTATTTCCCATCATTTTCAATTAAATCTGAGAAGGCAGCTATGCCATAAACCCATGCCTGAGTGCTATCAGGATTCCATACCTCGAAGCAGCTGCTCTTGCTTGACAACCAGCCCTTGATACTTTTTGAAGGTTTTTTCATATTCTTTTTTCTGGGTTTGATTATCAGGATCTTCATCAAGTAAAAGGCTACAAGTTAAGGATAAGTACAACATCCGGAAACAAACACACACACACAAACCACAAACTGATCAAATACCCTTTGATCAGGACTGAAGGTGCAATAGGAAGCAGGCTAATGTGGCCAGAAGGTAGCATCTGACAATTCCCGGAAGTACTCCCAAAAATATGCTGCCAGCAGGTTGCCCAAAGACAGCAAAATAGGCTTCCCCATAGACCATGACTTAAAAAGCCTAAAAACTGCAAAATGAAAGGATATCAGCTTTCTTCTTCTTGGTGAGTTCTTCCTGCCAAAGTTCATGTCTCTTCAGCTCATGGTCAATGATGTTCATGCAGAGAGCCCCAATCTTGTAGTGCGTGATGAGCCCATGAAACTGGGAAAAGCTAGATGGGGGGTGGTGGTGGTACAGATATGTTAAAACCAAAAGCCAGAGTGACAGGTTTCAAATAAGCACCCCTACTACCACAGAGTCAAGGTCAATTGCTTTGGAACTAGGGAAACGATTTTTTCTATAGTAAATATAAAATATTATTTTTCAAAGCATTTTCATATGCATTGTGAGTTATAAAACTTACCTAGAGAAGCAGAAAAAAATATAAATTATATTAGTAGCAAGCTCCACACTTTGTTTCCAGTCCTCTCTCAGTACTCTGGCCAAAGCACCCAACGCGGTTTCTAAAGAAAACAAAGATGGAGATCAGCCTCAGTTGTGGATTTTACTGTTACCTGGCTGATTTCCTTACATCTAAAAGGAAATAAGCACATCTGATGCTTGGATGGAAATAATAAACTGTGATCAGCTGCAGGTGCCCTGCTCAATGAAACCACATGCACCAAGGTGAAGACGGTGGCATGTTGATTAGGACTTCCATCATCTTCCGCTCTAAGAGGTGGAATTTACTGCCCAAAGAGACTTGTTTTAGACCCTTCCTTCTGGCCTTCCAGAGATCCATACTAACATTTTTATACAGGAAGGTATTTGGTGTTAACTAACTGGATGCCCTCATAGAGTGACAGCTTGTCTTACTGCTGATTTTACTGCTGACTAGTTTTAATAGTCTATCATTGCTGGTTTGTTGATGTTTTTATGATTGATTACACCTGTTTTGGGGAGTTGCATTTTCAATACTTTATATGTTTTTGAAGTTTTATTTGTAAGGAACCTTGAGTGCTGCTTCAGCAGAAAGGCAGGAGAGAAATCTTCTAAATAAAATAGATAAATAATAACAGCTGCCAGAATGCAACATGCACACACAGAGATTATGACACTCGTTCCAGCCAGCCCGATAGGCAATAGCCAGCCCAACGTGATAAAAAACAGACAAAACTTAAACTCACCATTAAGCAGGAGTTCTTCTAGATTATCAGGATTCCTGGCCAGCTGCAGAATGAGTGCAGAGCCACGCACCTTATCAGGAATATCTTCATAGAGCAACTCAATGTATTCATCCATGTCATTGATATTGGCTACTTCATCAATCTGAAAATATCAGCACCAAAAGAGGAAGATATTGAGAATTTTTCACAAGTTCCACCGAAACATTCAAGAGGGATTTTCATGTCACTCGATCGGTGTGTGTGTGTGTGTGTGTGTGTGTGTGTGAATTCTTGTAAACAGTTTTGAAGGACACCACAAAATCAAATCTTGATACATACCAGAGATCAATTCTCTTATTAGTTGGTTTTTATTCCCCACTTCTCTTTACTCTAAGGAGTCTCAAAACACCTTACAATCACCTTCCCTTCCTCTCCCCACAACAATCACCGTATGAGGCAGACGAGGCTGAGAGAGCTGTGACTGGCCCAGGGTCACCCAGCAGGCTCCATGCAGAGGAGCGGGGAGTCCAATGCGGTTCTCCAGATTAGAGTCCACCTCCGTTAACCACTACACCACACTGGCTTATTAGACCACACCTATGACCAGTGGCAAATTCTTTCTACCCCCTCCATCATTGTTTTGGTGAGGTAAAGAAGTAAAAAATGATTTTTTTTAACAGCTAAGGGAGGTGTCTCCCTCCTTACCAATTCAGGAGAGAGGCACAATCTAAAAAACAAGATGGAAAACAGCCCAATGAAATTTCAGTTCAAAGTACTTCTACCTTAGATCACTCCATCTAAGAGACTGCATAGTGTTCGTGTAAAGCTATGATTGTTTGAGTTTTATTTTATAATAGACTTCTGATTGTGCATTTCCCTTGAAATTAACTCTTTAATTCATGGCACCCATGACTTCAAGGGGAATTGCATTACACTTTGTCTGCTTGCTACAAGCACTATATAATCAAGATTAACTAGCTGGAAGATGCTCATAACGGAACCAAGGATCCCTCAGCCTGCAAGAAACTATCTATTTAGCATAGCATAGCTATATTCCACCCTTCCTCCAAACAGCTCAGAGAGGTGTACGTGGTTCTCTCTTCCCCATGTTATTCCCACAAAGCTATGCGATGGGTCAGGCTGAGAGAAAGTGACTAGCACAAGGTAATCCCGTGAGCTTCCTAGCCCAGTGAGGATCTGAACGCAGATCTCCCACATCACAGTCCAATACTAACACAGCAGTCCCTAATACGGCATGCACGGGGGGATCATGCCGCCCACCACTATGTTTCCTGGTGCCCACTTCCTTCTCCCCCAAAGCAAGAGTCAGTTCTGGTTTTCCTCCACTACACTGGAGTAGGAGCAGCTTCAGAAGAGTTAGGGAGATATCAAATGTGAGTCTGTGGAGAGCAGCCATTCAGAGACAGCCACCTCCATCATAGGTGGATACTCAGCCCAGAACCTCCCAATGTTTTGGGAACACATTAACACTTGGAATTCACTGCCACAGGAAGTGGTGGCGGCTACAAGCATGGACGGCTTCAAAAGGGAATTGGATAAGCATATGGAGCAGAGGTCCATCAGTGGCTATGAGCCACAAGGTATAGATAGGGGCTCTGGGGCAAGTGATGCTCTGTCATCTTGGTGCTTGGGGGGGGGGGTCAACAGTGGGAGGGCTTCTAATGTCCTGGCCCCACTGGTGGACCTCCTGATGGCACTGGTATTTCTGGCCACAGTGTGACACAGAGTGTTGGACTGGATGGGCCTTTGGCCTGATCCAACATTGGCGTCTCTTATGTTCTTATGTTCTTAAGGCGCGGCCATTCTCTGGTTTGCTACCCCCTCAGCCGGGAAGCTATTCTATGGTAGTGTCCATGCACCATCTTTCTCAAAATCCAAAATTCCCACAAGCTCAAGAAGCTTGCAGATCCCACTGCAATGCTCTTGCTATTAACTACTGGAATATGCCCCAACTATCCAGATACATTATAAAGTTCCAGCAATGGCAGCAATATTTGAACAGACCACCAGATAGGAACCTATGAATTTATAACACGAAGGCTAGTTGTGGAGACATGACAGTGAAGTCAGTATTCAGAATCCTCTATAATTGGTCAATACCTACCTCTGTGCCTTCAAAAGGAGGTGGATCTTTTGGTTTACTGGATTTCTCTTTTTTCTCTATGGAAAGAAATACAGTAATGTCATCTGTACGTGTAGCACAGTCTCTCACCTTATTTCAATTCTGCCCTTACATTTTGGGGGGAGGGAGCAAAGAGAAAGAAAATCTCACTCAAGTGAAGTCAGCAGTTCTTCCCACAAAGACAAGCCGTAGACTGCAGTCTCAACAACACATGATATACAAGGAGGTTCACCTTAACCGAATGGGACTTATTTCCAAGTAACTACACTAAGGATTTGAGTGGCAAGTTGGGGAAATCAACATATACTGATACTCAGGATCAATGTTCCCTCTAAGCTGTCGAGTCTTGTGAGCAAAAATTCTATTGTGTGAGTTACTGGCATTAAAGTTGTGAGCGAGCAATTTGGCTGCTGCATAAATTAGTTTGCTCTGGAGCCCTCCTTCCTGAGCTGAGACAAAAATGTGTGAGCTGGAGGCTAAAAAACTGTGAGCTAGCACACACTAACTCAGCTTAGAGGGAACACTGCTCAGGATGAGATATCAAAAGGCACATCTGCAAAGCACGTTCATGACTGCAGGGGGGGATTCAGAGGGTAGGGATTTTCCCACATGGTAGCAGCCCCTGGCAGCTCAGGGAATGCTATTCTAAGGGGGAGAAGGTGTCACAATGCAGTGGCTAAAACACTCTGTATCATATATGATCACCTGGATCCCAGGCTTCAAACTCCCTCCCCCCCAAAAAAAAATTAAACAGAACAGTAAGCATGCTGTGAGACATTTCTCCAGTTCTCTGTCACTCAAACCAAATACGCCATATTTAGAACAGAATCTTCTAAAAGAAAGATGTACCATAAATGTTGCTTGATTAACAAAACAGAAATGCAGTTATAGTTCAGCATCACGGTCTCAAAGCTGGATCTTTCAGATGAAATACAGCATACCTTGGTAACTGCCCCCTCCCCTCGTAATACTGGGGAGTGGGAAGAGTGACATCATGGACCATGTTGTAAGTGTCAAACCTTGCCCTGCCCACCTTTTCCTGCAGACGTGTCTCTGCGGTTCTGCAAGTAGTAGAGCAACTGTTCCACCTCGGCTAGTTTGGAAGGGTGAATAAGCTTGCATTCCTCCACCACCTTCCGAGCCAGGGAAGAAATGTCTGTATTGGCATTGAGGCTCTTCAACCGGATGCTGCAAGACACATTTCACAGATTTCACCCACAGCTGATGCAGAAATCAGTACTCGACTTTGAAAAGGTATGAAAGGATTTATTTTTTTATTTTACTTCATTTGTACCCACTTCTCTCTCTAATGAAAACCCAAAGTGGTCAACAAAAATAGCAACTAACAAAGGTAAGTAAAGGTTTCCCTTGCTCGAAAGCTAGTTGAATTCGACTCTAGGGGGAGGTGCTCATCTCTGTTTCCAAGCTGAAGAGCCAGCGCTGCCCGAAGACATTTCCGTGATCATGTGGCCGGCATGACTAAACACCGAGGTGCACAGAACGCCGTTACCTTCCCACCGAAGTACCTACTTGCAATTTCTTGCTTTAGAACTGCTAGGCTGGCAGAAGCTGGGTCCAGACACGGGAGCTCACTCCGTCACGCGGCTCTCAGGTCTCAAACTGCCAAACTACAGACCTTCCAGGCTGCAGTTCAGCATCTTAACCTCTAAGCACTAAAGGCTTAAAAGTATAACAATGTATCTTATCAAAGCCATTAAAATGGCTTCTTTGCTCATTAGTTTTTAGCATAATTGTGCAATTGCAATCAAGCCCAAGTCATCAGAATAGAGTGAATTAGAAGTATAAATACAAAAAAATGTTTTTCGTTTATCTATTTAAAACCTTTGGTAGCCACCTTTCTCCCTTGCAAAACTCAAGGCAGCTTACAATATAAATAAAACGTTATTAAAAACACAATAAAAACAATTCTAAAACCCATAAAAGTCACAGTTCAAACATTCTGATTAGGACTGCCAATAATAAAAGCTAAATCAATCAAAACACAGTCCTAAATAAAACAGTCTTCAACTGCTTCCTGAAGACCAACAATGAGGGACCAGGCACACCTCCCTCCCTGTGGAGGCTGTTCCATAATTGTGGGGCTCCATGGAAAAGGCCCTTTGTCGTGTATCCACCAAACACAGCTCTTTAACTGGTGAGACAGTCATGAGGCCTCGCCCCATGATCTTACTTTCTGGGCAGGAATATATGGAAGAAGATGGTCCTTCAGATACCTGAGTGGCCAGCCATGTAGGGCTTTAAAGGACAAAACCAACACCAAAATTGGGCTCTGGAGAGCCAGTTTAATTGCTGTAGTACTGGGCAAATATGTTCCTAATAGCTGGCACCAACTAGGGGTGTGCAAAAAAACCCTTTTGTTTCTTTTCCGATTTGGATTCATTGGACCCGAAAAATATCAGTATTCCTGAATACTAATATCGGTTTTGTATTGGGATTTGGGTAAATATTCAGGAAACTCAAATTTATTTATTTCCATCATACCCTATGGTGACTGTCCCCATAGAGCACAATGGAGAAGGGATTTGAAGTTTAAACGCATGCTGAGAAATGACTCGGAGAGTCATGCCACACTGTGGCGTGACCCTGTGAGTCAACGCAGCAAGCATTTAAACTTTAAATCCCTGATTTGCTGAGTCATTTCAACTCAGCCTTCTAGCTGTGCACAAATAAAAGCTGAATAATATCAGCTTTTATTCGGGTGTGGCTATTTCGGTATTCAATCTGTATTCAGCTGAATAAATACCCGAAAAATACCAAAAAGGTATTTTTTGGATATTTATTTGGCTCGGTATATACTGAGTACACACCCCTAGCCCCAACCAGCAGCCTAGCCACTGCATTCTTACTAGCTGCAGTTTCTGAGTAATCTTCAAGGGTAGCCCCAAGTGGAGCACACTGCAATAGTCCAGTCTAGATGTAACTAAGTCACGGATCACTGTGACTAGATCTGACTGTCCCATGTTATTGGAAAAATATTAAACTTATATGTTTATTTAATATTTACACAGAAAAATTTATGCTGCCTCTTCAGCCCAAGGCAGCTGACAAAACAAAGCAAAAAATGTATAAGTTGTTCATTAATATGTTCTGCAGAACAATATGCATGCTCCAAGACATCTCATAGCAAAAATGCCTGTGAAAAATATTTCTTCATTGTACACAGCGTTAACTTCCAATGGTTGCTGTGATGGGCTTTTACGTATTCAAGAAATATGAGCCTAATTAAGCAACCTGTTGGTAGTCAAGTTAATAGAGATTAGGAACCTCTGTGACAGATGAAAAACTCCAGGGTTTTATATGGCATTCGTCCAAATATTATTAGGGGATATGTGTCAGGTTGCACATTTTGTGCATCAGTGCATGCTTCCACACAAAATGCAATAGGTGGAAGCTGGCACTCATTAGGAAACAAATTTTTCACGTGGCTAACTACACTGGAAATACTAATTACCATAGGTCAGATTTTTTAAAAATGGAAACGTTTAACACCCAGGTCACTTTATTCAGAACTTCCAGGAAAAAATGTCACAAATATACTTACATTTTTTGACATTCCTTGCGCTCTCCCAGCATAGGATCTCCCATCTCCCCAAGTATTGTAGCTTCAACCTCATAGTGAACAATAAGTGCCTTTTCTGATGGATGAACATCAATGTTGCCTCCTTTCACCTTTCTGTAAAGTAAAAAAACATTAAATACAATTAAATACAAGACGACTATCCACAGCAGAGGCTCAAAGAGAATAAGCAATCTTTGAATGGTTATCCCAAGCCCCCTTCAAATGCCTGAAGTGAATATTAGGCTTTCGAAACAAGTCAGACTCAGGTACTTTTTAAATGAGAGGGAGTACTCCAGGTCTCGCACTTGGAAGGAAGAACACCAAAACTGATAAACAGCACTATGTTTCAATGACTGAAACAATTAGATCCATCTCCTTCCAAGACAGTAACACTGGACAGTGAAAATGTAACCCCAGAACAAGATGTAATGTCAATAACATTGGATTCCGGCCCCCTTGTTTAATTAGGCATTGCACTGCCTTCAATGAAGGAATCTTTTTTATTGTTCCAATTGGCACTGCAATTTTGTCAAGGGCCTATTAAGTCCTTCTCTCCTCCTATCCCCCCCCCACACACACACCATATGAAAACCAATGGCTTGTCTGAATGCTTGTATGGTGGGCAGAGTGCTGAAGCCTTTAGCCCAGTCAAGCAGCACCAAGGGATATTGGCTGGCCCAGGTCAAGCTCCTGAGAGGCTGCATTGCCTCCTGTTTTATCTTCAAGTGTCTCAGTATCCTGAAATCCAAAACCCAACAAACACTGGAAGGTTCCCATTTGCGGAAAAAGTGCCGCACTTTGTAAGTGAAAAACTTTTTGGCCCTTCAGTTCTTGAAAAGGAAAATGTTAACATACTGTTGCATTAAATTCCCCCCAAATGCTGCATCCCATGCTGTTCTGGGAGGAGTGAAAGGAGAGGCAAGAAAGACACCTTCCAGCTACAATGCTCTGGGCAAGGGTTTTTTTTAATCCATCCCTATCTGCATTTCTGTTGCTGTTGTTAAACTGAGGGGGGAAAGTGACACTGGCACAAGAGCACCTCAAAGGAAGAACCTCAAATGTACATTCAGCTCCAGGGTCTCTCTTACAGGGCAATCCTAAACAGAATTACACCTTTCTAAGGCTCAAACTAGGAGCTGCAGTGGCTCAAGTGGTTAAGACGCTGAACTGCAGGCTGTGGAAGGTCAGTAGTTCAGCAGTTCGAGACCAGAGTTGCCGCATGACGGAGTGAGCTCCTGTCTCTGGCCCCAGCTCCTGCCAACCTAGCAGTTCAAAAGCAAGAAATTGCAAGTAGATAAATAGGTACCACTTCAGTGGGAAGGTAACAGCATTCCGTGCGCCTCGGCGTCTAGTCATGCTGGCCACATGACCACGGAAACGTCTTCGGATAGCGCTGGCTCTTCAGCTTTGAAACAGAGATGAGCACCGCAACCCTAGAGTCGGACTCGAATGGCTTTCGAGCAAGGGAACCTTTACTTTTACGGCTCAAACTAGATGTTACCTGTCATTCACGGCCACCATGGGGGCTTGAAACTGCAAGCTCCCCACAGACACTCAACCCCAACACTTAACAGGGATCCCTTTCTAATTGGGACATTGGTTGCAAGGGAGGCTTTGCCCCATTTTCCTGACACGTACTTCAAATACTGTTACATTCTATTTAATGCTAGAGGCTCCAGTTCTCCTTGCCAAAAATTTTGGCTCCTCCTTTTTTCCTCAATCCCAGTTCAGGTCCATATTTCACTGTGCTTCATGTGCAGCCATAATAAACCATCACTCTCCAACACTGGCTAATAAAGGAGGATAAACCTGTCAGCACTAAAAAGCATTTGTCATCAAAACCCAATGAGGAGAAACTATGCTCAGCCCTGCTACCAAGACAATGGTGATACAGCTGTCAATGTGCCACCTGATTTCTTTATTCACACAATACTTTTAATAAGAAACAGTTTGTGCTAGTTTGATTATCCTCAGTGCTTTCTGAGCAGGGTACCTACAATCCTCATATTAAGACATGGGGAGGAGGGAGACATTTTATGGCACAGTAGCTGGGCCACAATGTACATCAGAGGATATTTCACTCAGCCACCTCTAATCATTTCACCTTAATAATATTCTTTATCTGTGTGGAGGAGCAGACCTGCTGCAGCCTGCAGACCCTGTTCCACCCTGCCCACTACGGTTTTCTCAACACCTGGAGAGGCTTTTCTCTCTCTCAGATAACCCGCTGCCACTACTTGACCTCTGTAGTTGGCCGTTACAATATAAATACAAAAGCAGGAGCGACTGATTAGGAAGAACATGGCCGCCATGTTCTTACTAAACGCGACCATCCGCTTTGTTTTTAATGTCTAAATTCGTATATGGATTACAATTGCAGCAACGCAGCAAAACAGATTGGAATGAGAGCTTGGTTGGAAGAGGAGCCCCCCCAAAAAATAAAGGTGTCCAAAAACGACAAGGAACGCGGCCGAGAAACAAATGGACTTACGCGTAAGGTTCTTTTCCCACTTATTACGGCGGAGGGGGGGAAGAGCAATGAGTAACAGTATTGTGTTGGTTCTATGTATCGGCTAGAGGAAAGCAGACTGAAAAATCAGGAATTTGAAGAAAAGGGATTGGAAATATGTTTAATATGGAATACACAATGAAAGACGAGGAGGAGTTGGAGGAAAATATGGAAGTTGTCCAGTTGAATATTGATCAATTCCTCAAAGCTTTGCAGGGAGAAGTGCAGAGAAGTTGTAGAGAAGCATGCAAGGAAATACTGGGAAAATTGACAGAATTACACCTTTCTAAGGCTCAAACTAGGAGCTGCAGTGGCTCAAGTGGTTAAGACGCTGAACTGCAGGCTGTGGAAGGTCAGTAGTTCAGCAGTTCGAGACCAGAGTTGCCGCATGACGGCGTGAGCTCCTGTCTCTGGCCCCAGCTCCTGCCAACCTAGCAGTTCAAAAGCAAGAAATTGCAAGTAGATAAATAGGTACCACTTCAGTGGGAAGGTAACAGCATTCCGTGCGCCTCGGCGTCTAGTCATGCTGGCCACATGACCACGGAAACGTCTTCGGATAGCGCTGGCTCTTCAGCTTTGAAACAGAGATGAGCACCGCAACCCTAGAGTCGGACTCGAATGGCTTTCGAGCAAGGGAACCTTTACTTTTACGGCTCAAACTAGATGTTACCTGTCATTCACGGCCACCATGGGGGCTTGAAACTGCAAGCTCCCCACAGACACTCAACCCCAACACTTAACAGGGATCCCTTTCTAATTGGGACATTGGTTGCAAGGGAGGCTTTGCCCCATTTTCCTGACACGTACTTCAAATACTGTTACATTCTATTTAATGCTAGAGGCTCCAGTTCTCCTTGCCAAAAATTTTGGCTCCTCCTTTTTTCCTCAATCCCAGTTCAGGTCCATATTTCACTGTGCTTCATGTGCAGCCATAATAAACCATCACTCTCCAACACTGGCTAATAAAGGAGGATAAACCTGTCAGCACTAAAAAGCATTTGTCATCAAAACCCAATGAGGAGAAACTATGCTCAGCCCTGCTACCAAGACAATGGTGATACAGCTGTCAATGTGCCACCTGATTTCTTTATTCACACAATACTTTTAATAAGAAACAGTTTGTGCTAGTTTGATTATCCTCAGTGCTTTCTGAGCAGGGTACCTACAATCCTCATATTAAGACATGGGGAGGAGGGAGACATTTTATGGCACAGTAGCTGGGCCACAATGTACATCAGAGGATATTTCACTCAGCCACCTCTAATCATTTCACCTTAATAATATTCTTTATCTGTGTGGAGGAGCAGACCTGCTGCAGCCTGCAGACCCTGTTCCACCCTGCCCGCCAAGGTTTTCTCAACACCTGGAGAGACTTTTCTCTCTCTCAGATAACCCGCTGCCACCACTTGACCTCTGTAGTACTAGTAAGTAAGTTTATTGTATATGGCTGTTGGCCGTTACAATATAAATACAAAATATAAATTCAGGGTTCAAAAGTACTGTTCTAAAAAAAAAAGCCTTCAGAATAAGACTGTATAGCATTTGAACAAATAAAAGAAAGTTTTAAATTCATAAAAAACTATGCTACCAGTTTTGTAGCTATAGGAAACAACCTTGGATCTAACATTTCTGCCTGCAAGCGCAAAAAGCGCTACCTTGCAAGTGACCAGGGGATACGTATCTGACAAGAGGAAAACCAGGTTTTCATTGTCAGGTAAGTTGCAAAGTTGGAAATGAAATAAAAAGTAAATACTATGCTTTTATTTTATTTACATGTGATTTTACAGTGTGCGTAAGGAACCAATGGGATACTGAAGAATGGGGCAGATTTAAGCGTGGTTTGTTGGTATACCTTCCAAGCAGCACTTCAGTGGGCATGGATTGTAAAGCAAAGGGTGGTAAATGCTGCTCTTACACTGTGGATGGCAACGTCTGACAAGTAGGAGGTTCTCAAGTTATCTTTTTTAACCCTATGGTACCACGGTGCAGATTTTGACTGGAGTATTAACCTTTTGTCTAAAAGAGCATCCCAGTACCCAAAAGAAACTAGTGATTCACTGTTCCTGTGACAGGATCTGGAGGGCAACGGCACACTGGATGCCCCCCTCTGTCTCTATAGCTCAATAAGGTTCAACACATTTTTAGCTATCCATCACTGAGGTTTTCTATTGATCTATTTAATATTACTGCATCCAATTTCATGGTCTTTTTATGATTTCCAGGTTCAAGGGAGTGAAGCCCACCTTGTGTTAGCTCCAGGACTCCTCCTGTCATGCAGGGGCTGGGATCTGGGAACTAAAGGACCCTGGCTGACACATCAGGGGGCTGAAGCTGAAACTAAAGGACAGTGGCTGTCAAATCGGGGTACAGTCTGGTGGAACTGAAATTAATGGGCGGCAAATCCCAGATCAGAGGACCTAGTGAGATGGGGTGGAATGGAACTAAAAGATGGTACCCAGCAGATCAGGGGGTGCAGCCTGGAGAAGAAACTTCAGAATCTGGTAACAAAGCAGAGCAAAATCAGTGTGCTGTAGCAGTCAGAGTAATATAGTGGGACCTGAGTTCAAATTGCCCCACTGTCACAGAACCTTGATGGGCAACTTGGGCCAGTCACTCTCTTACAGCCTGGCCTGCTACTAGACTCCACTCCTATGATGGACAGGAGATGCTTCCTTCCTCTTTTCTCCCCATTCCACTAGGAATAATCAAATTTGAAAGGCTGAATGGAATGTTAGAGTAAGGGGTGGGGGGGCTGAGACAATTTAGCCAGCAACCAAGCGACAAACAGGGGAGATGGGCTCTGGAGGGAGAAGAGGTATCCTGAACAGGCAGGGAGTCCAATAGGGATTTTAGTGTTCTATTTAAACAGGCAGGATTTGGATGCTGTTCCTATATAAAAACAGTAAAGAGTTAAAGCTTGTCTTGTTACTGTTTCCAAGCCTGAGAGACTGAAAGAACACTGTAATGAGTAAGCATAAAGCACCTCCCAGCTCTGGCAACTGTGATTAGACATACCAAATAAACAGACATGTGTGTTCTTGGTAGGTATGACCCCCATGTTCTCACCAACCCATGACACACTACTCAACAAGATCCAGGGGAAAGGGGACCTCATTTGTGTCTGATATGCTCTCTGGTTCAAGATTAAGGAAGCCTGAGTCTCAAAGAAGAAAGGCTAAACAACAGAAATCCACTTTGCCAAACACACCTAAAGCTGTAGAAAAGAGCAGGCGTCCAGGAGCACCTTAGAGATGCACAAAATACCTGGCGGGGGGAGGAGCTGCCGTGAGTCAGGGCTCACCCCTTCAGATGCAGCTACACTGTGAGTCCACCAGTCCCACATATCGGAGAGTGGAGCGATTTCAGGTGCCCAGTGGCATTAGCAGGCGAATGGCCACGGCAGGGGTGGTTCCTGAGACCACTCCGCTTTACGATAAACAGGGCAGACGGACTCCCGTTCTAGCGGCATCTGAAGAGGCAGCCATGACACGGGGAAGCTCCTCCCCCCACCCGGCCCAGATCTTGTCTCCTGCTACAGACAGACCGACGGGGCTCTGCCCACCTGGTTCTAACACCGAAAGCCGGCTATTTTTGGGCAGGAACGCACAGCGGCTGGTTCCCAAGTTGACCACACCCAAGAGCAGAAACTCATTAGGATTGGCTACATAAGGGATGTGTGGCCTAACATGCAAAGGAGTTCCTGCTATAAAAAAAAGGGCCCTGGGTTTTGACCACAAACAAGGTAAACAGAATAAGAAGCAAAAGGTGGGTGTGGCTGGATGAGCACACTTCTGGTAACATGCGGGGTGTGGCCTAATGGGCTAATGAGCTGTGCTCTCATGGGTGTGGCTGGATATGCTAACGGGTTCCTGTGGTTGGGTGTGGCCTATTATGCTAATGAGTTCCTGCTGGGCTTTTTCTACAAAAAGAGCCCTGCCTAAAGCTGACACTGGATAATGAAAGCAAGGCGTGGGTGGGTGACAGCGGCGGGGCTGCAAACGGTGCCAAAAAACAAGACAGCCAGAGAGAAAGGCCCGGGAGAGGGAGCGGCTGACAG